TGGGACGTACGAGAAGCTGTCGCACGGATCGGCGGACGATATTACTTCTGTCTCTTATACACATCTAGATGTTTGTAGAGGCGGGATACAAGACGAATGGCAGTTATCCACAGCACTCAGCCACTTGATTGTTCATCTACCCCTCTCAAGACCCCACCCACCCTTCCTCATATCATTTTTTTACCCTGGCGCACCCCTACCCCCCCTGTCTTACCCTAGTGTTAACCAACCGGGACCATCACCCATTGCCATATATTGGCAGGGTGACCCTTGACCAGACAACGGTTGCAGGTACCCGATCTAGGCAGAGAGACCTAACCCCCCTGCTCAGCCCTGGTTGAAGCTAACGCCGTGCAAGCCCAATTGCACGGGTGTGACAAACTATTTCCCAACCCCGTGCTATCTTTCGTACCCCTCTAGCTCAGAATTTTTCCTTGTATCATACCAACCCCACAAAACCCCCGTTTGTTTTCTTGATTTCGGGTGCCGCGTTTGCGGCCCCCATTTTGTTGGAAGCTCTTTTCAATCCTTGAAATTCTGTTTTTGCAATTTGGGAAATACATGAGAAATTACGCGCGCCTTAGCGAGCGTGCTGAGAGTCGGGCTCGACAGTTAGGAATTAGGGAATAAGCGGAGCCCGAGATATCTTTTTCCTTGCATGAATGTTCTTGGTCACGTTGGAGAAAACTCTAGGAATTTTGCGAGAATACGGATAGGCATAGGACTTTTTGTTCCCGCGTCGACTTTTGCGTGCGAATATGGTGATTTCAATTTTTGAATTGGTGTAGGATATAGGCAAGCTGTAACTGTTTCGGTGCTTTTTTCCCTCGCTGTCGGCACCGCGCATGCAAGCATCCTCCTCCTTATTTCCCGCACCATCCTTCCCCTGCACTCTCCCCCCTCCCTTTCCCCCTCCTCTTTCTCTCTCCTCGCAACTGTTTTTCCTCTCTCGCTCTGATCGTTGCGCGCCCACTTCTCTTTCTTGGTCATCTGAATCTTGGACCCTTCTTGCGCTACTTCTCGCACCTTTTTCCTTCTCACCCTCCGAACACAGCGCACGAAGCCCGGTTGATCCTTCCATAACTCCCGCTCGCCAATCAGGTGCGTGGATCAATAGGATCTTCCTATTGCGCGACGAATCTGATTGGTTGAACCTTAAGCTTCGGGGGATCAACATGGCTTCCGCGGAGCGCTCTTCTCAAAGTCTTCCCCTCCTGTTTCTCCTCTTACACCTCAACTTCCCTTTCGCCTTCTCCCCCTTCTGTCTCCCTTGTAGCAACTATAAAGTCCGCAAGCGCGCCCGCAAAAATCTCTCATACGTTCTCGACTCCCAAGCCAGCTTCCGGGAAGCAGTGACTAGGCAGAGTGTTCGGTGCGAGTCGGAAAGTCCTGTCGGGTTGGCGATAGGCCGGCCGGTTGCGCGCTTGATCGCCACGACGGACTGTGGGATCTAGACGAACCGCGTCGAGTTTGCGTCGGCGGGGTGACGATCGCAGTGGTGGGAGTTAGCACGCGACGGCCGAGATCGTCGGTGCGGGTATGAGGATCGATGATTGGAGTTGAGTGGGTGGTTGGCCCGGGGCCATATTGGAATTCACGGCGAATGCGCCTTTGTTGTTGCGGACCATTATCTCTGGCGTGAGTGTACGGCGGCAACGCCGAACTTCCTTTTTTCGGATCTTGTCATCTCCTATCTCTACATTCCTCCCTCGTCTCTCTTCCTCTATCTCTGAATGACGATGTGTCCTGATGCTTGTCCCTCTCATGAATGAGAATGAATCTGTGTGCTCTCCTGTGTGAAGGAACTTCTTTCGGAACTCTTCCATTAGTTTCCTGGGTAATCCCCAGATGTCGAGGAATTGATCCTCCTGTCTTGTGAACGGTGGATGCGTGTGTACAATTCCCTCGGTTGATTTCTGGTCTGTGCACCCCCATCATTTTCGCACCTTCCACAGTAAATGTATGTGTGGAGATTCTTGTCTTTTTGTGTTGATTAGACGCAGCACTCGGCAGGATTTTGTTCGAGAATGCAAGAGTGTTTAGATCTGTAGTTCTGAATGCACTGCGCATGTGATCTGCCATATGCTGCACGACATCTGCAACCGATCTACAGGCAGCCTCGAAAAACAAGGCGCCTCGGATCAACGTCGCGCTGGCTCACTAAACCTGAGTCGCGGGTCGGTCCCTCAGTTTCATGCATAATAAAATTGATGAGTGTTTTCTCTCTCTCTCGTGTCGAAAATAATTGATTGGTGGTTGTGCGGGTGTTTTTCCTTGATGACGTCTAGGGATTTTTGCAATTGATTGACAAGTGGACTGGCAAACGCCCTTCGATCGGGCGCTAGCCTCCCGTATCTCCCGTATCGACGCGACCTTTTCCTTACGACGAGGAAAGGACACGTGTATGCGAGTGGGACGTACGAGAAGCTGTCGCACGGATCGGCGGACGATATTACTTCCCTCCGAAAAATCGTTGCTCGGGATTCGTGGACGCGGGATTTGTCATTATCGATATACATTTTCCACCTTACTCGATATTGTTGTCATTTAACGAGTTGATCGTCATTCTGTAGACGGCAGTAGAATCCCACTGGCCTCGCACTCTATGCACCGAGTGCCAGCGTTTTGAGCGCTACGAATCCAAGGGTTTCCACTACCGCGTACGGAGTGAAGACGAACGCTTAGAAAGAGCCACACGACTGAGGCCCTCCACGTCGGACTCAGAACTGACCAGTGAGCGACATCGCGACTTAATACGAAGACGAGACAGGCGAAGAGTGTCGAAGCCTTTTCGCTCTAAACGAAGGGCCGTAGCACGGTGGGAAGTCCGACAATACTTTTTGGATTGAATTTGTATTTCTCTTTCCTTTTGCACCGAACTCTCTCGCGCATTTTGCGACGCGCGAAACACGGTCGACTTACTTCATCGGACCAACACGGGGGATTTCAGTTTCGTCTATGTCCCCACACTCCATTTCCAAAAATCCTTGGCACACCTCATCTTGCTGTTTTTCTGGGCCCCTTTTTTGCACCTCTAGCTCTCCGAACGAAAGACAGCACGGGGCGTGAGGTTGGTATCGGAGCCGACACGTGTCGGTTCTGATGATAGTGAGTCGAACTGGC